AACTGGAGACAAGAACTGTTGTGGGCTTTCTTGCCTAGACTGGCTTCAAACTATGATCCTCAAATCTCAGCCTCTTGAATAGGTTTACAGGAATGAGCCACCAGCATCCAGCTATAAAGTCATGTAATACTCATTCACTTGATTTTTCACAAAATTTCCTAACTCTGGACTATTTAAAAGTAACTTTTCAACTAGGCCAAGACAAAGCCACGCATTTTTCCTTACTACAATATGATGACAAACTATTCTTTAGCCAGCAACATGATTAGAAGATATATTAGGAAATAAATATGACTGGAAGGACTGGAAAATTTGAATCGCTATTCAAACTTTACATTAATTTATTTAATTAACTACAAGCCATAAAGTACAGGTGTTTCTAACATGCCATTTTCAAAAGGGAGATACCCAGAAACTAATGGTTGGTGGATTTTGTTTCTGATTGTTATTTTTTTCTTTTTTTTTGTCAACCACAAATGTTTTGCACTCAGTAACTCTTTTCTTTTAAAAATGTATTTTAGTGCCCAGATCTTGTTTGTTTACTTCTTGTGGGTGTGCATGTGTGCTGGTACTGAGGCTGGGACTGCCTGGGTGCTGTCTCTTAGCTTTTTAGTAAAGGCTTGTGTCTTACCACTTGAACCATATATTTACTTCCCATATCTTGGGTTTTTAAATACTGTTCCCCACAGAAAGAAAGCAGGTGCTCTTGGAGAAATGGCTGGTTTCTAACCTGGCTGGGAAAGGTATAAAGTGAACTATTAATAACTTGTGCTACTAAAGAAGTACAAAGGGCTACATATGTAGCGGGGTGGTGAAACACTCGTCTAACCACAAGGCCCTGAGTTTGATTATTGCCACTGTAAAAACTAACAAACAGGACCAAGGACAGATCTGACAAGATCTGAGTCAACAGAAACATTAGAATAAGTCAGGAGGATGAACTGGTGGAATCCAGGAGACATTTAGGGTTGTGGAAGTGTGATGAATGACACTTGGTTCTTTATTTAATGTTCATATTACCACACAATTAACTGCTCACTAACAGTTGTTTCAACCATTACTCATCTCCTGGTAATTTCACTTTACATTATCTCATATTGTACATAATCTATTAAGATGCCTGGGTACACTCCGCTTCGGTGGCAGGATCAAATGGTTTACTGACAAAAGTTCAGCAGTCAAAAACGTTGGCTGCTGCAGGGATGAAGCCAGCAACCGCAACGTCCTGAGTTCAAATCCCAGTACCGCGAAAATCTTACAGCTTTCCGGAGACCACCGCGAGCCAAGAGTTGGCATCTCCCAAACGCTCGCTCCGCGCGTGCCC